TAAGTTTCATCGATAAAGCTTATTACTAGGCTGTCAGCGCGACGCCTTGCGTACATTCTCGATAGTAGCGGCGGCGCCGGCGGTATCGATTCCTATATTCTTTTAAATTTATGGCACGGAATCCGCAGCACTAGCTCGTGTTCGATAACTAGTGAGAAGTCCAAGTATATTGCTCTGATTGTACATTTAGTAATTAATTATTTGGAGTTTGTAAATCCCTGATTTAAAATCCAAAATCCTCGTAATTTTCGTCGACTTTCAAGATTATGAATTTATCACTGCAAGATAGGAAACGTACGCGATAATGGTGCTGGACTTGGTTATTGATATTTTGTCAAATAACATGTAGTGTCGTTGTAATAGAGCATCGTTACAAGGTATATAGTGTGTACCCAGATTGCGAGATAGCGCGCTGATAAACCTACAATATCAAATCGTATGAAAAAATAAGTTTCTTTATCGGTAACGTGGAGTGGGGCATGTCTTTCGGTTTGTAACACTTAATTTCAATATTATTATGTCTGAGATACATATTATAAAATATTTAACTACACGCAGGGAATGAGACGTCCTGCTAAATTTTAATTTGTGACGCAAGCAAGATAACATAACAGTAACATAGAAAGACAGTTAATACGTTATCTTTGGAAGGCAAAAGCAATTTACGAAGTTAGTAATTGGTATTAATTCGAACAATTGTGTGGGTCTGGTGGTAGTTTATCACCGGTAACACATGTACGAGCCTCGAACGATAGTGGCCGACACTCGCTATCTATGATCGATCACTAGCGCTGTTTAATTACGGCAACTTATCGACGCGCATGATTTATTGATATTGGCTCCGTATACTAGATACTGGGTGACACACAAATACGTTTCATTCTTACTTGGGCTACTTATACACTTACACAGTAATATACACTTAAACACTAATAGAATAAGATCTGATTAATGACTTGATCGAAGCGATTGAACGTTACCCAAGCATTTTAATTGAAGTGCTGTTTTCCTTATATTTTTTCTTGTCATAACATTTATAATCCGTGGGTTGCCTATACAAATAATGATTATTCAAATTATATACTGAGCATCGCATAAAAACTTGGATCCGCTAAGCATAAATAGAGGAAACAAAAAGCTATGAGTATTGGTTAGTCATTGGAATCTGAACGAGATGTTATAAATCAATAAAATTTATAACAAAGAGACGACGTCTGAATAAAATGAAACGCGAACTAAACGTTGTTGCCGATTTTGGATAGGTAATGAATTACAAAATTACGGCAATCCTATAGATATGTTATTTACTACAAATGTGTTAAGTAAGCAGTAACAGTACCTAGTAATTTACTAAAATATGAACAATTTACTTCTTGCTTATTCGAAAAAAGCTAAAAACAACAAAAAGAAAGCAAATAACGTGGCTAATTGGCGGTAACAAAGATAAACAAACTCATCAATTTAATATGTTTATCACGATAGCCTTGGGTTACGTCGGAGATTAATTGCTAATAATCCACTTAGTTTCACACAAACATGCATCATTATTATGTAGATAATACATTTTATGTATACATTTAACACAATTATCAACATTTTTTTGTGTTAACAACGATTACTAAAACTTTAATATGCTCTTTTTACGACTTCCAATGTTCTATCTACGTTTTAGGAAGTAAGACTGACAAAGTTTAGAAAGTTCATAAAAACTCTTGACTTGAGTTTGAAGTGACTCCTGTAACGTCCGCAAGTGAATAACAAACGCACAGATCAAATATTTTGAAAACACTCATTGTCCGACCACGTGTTCTGATGTTTAACGGGCACTTGTCTTCAACAGCTAGTGTTATCGTTATGAATGGCCCTGTTGATACACTGCGCTACCGGCTTTCTGATACTGCCCACTACTGCGCTCAATCAAAACAGATTCCATTTCCTTTTTCAAAATAATCCATAGATTATCCATTAAACTTTTTATCATAAAGCGTTTTTGAAGGCAGAAGTTTCGTCGTTTACGGTCTATTTGGTTTGGCGTCTAGACTTTAATGTAAATACGGCCTTTACGTCTTGGAGGCGGCGGTGTGGGCAGAATTCCAAATGGTATGAACATAAGCTGAGGCGGCTCGTATCGGGACTACACAGCACACCAAGCGTTGGCTGTACAAGTGTTTGCTAGACCGTCGCCGCCGCGCCGCTCCACACTCGTCGTCTACCCATATTATTCACAACCAACATAAAGTGACTATGAAACAGATCTTGCTCGAGTTTACATTTATACAGTATTACATTACATTCATGGCAACTGTTTCTTAGTCCCAAAAGGTCAAATTATGTTCGTTTTTCTACCAAAGGATCGTTGCTCGTTGTAAACCACAAAACATCTAAAACAAACACTGCAGATGCAGACAGACTACAACAGTCGTGTTAAAAGAATTTTATACGCTAGCGAATATCCGTCCAGTAGAAAACAAGCAAAACCTAAAACCTGACCAGCCGTTATCAGCGAAACACTCCTGACCGTTGGGAAAAAACTAGAAAGCGTCCGTTTTTTGGTGGACCTTGTAAAGCTATGGGTGGGCTGCGCTGTGTGCTATATATAAAATAATTTGATAAATGGCGGGCAGGACGGTAGCCCAGCGGGCGTGCATCGCTCGTTAATATAGTTAATAGTTGTTCGTCCCCTGACTCCCGCTAGACATGTACACGACGCGGACTAGACGCGTCTGGGAGACGAGATTAATGCTAACGCGTACTGGCTTACATGCGTAGCTATCATTTAGTTTTCTTCACAACATGCCTTTACGATACAAAGCCGCAGATTATGTGACTATTGCTAATAAAGCATCCCTAATTATTACTGTTTTCGCAGACTAGAAACGTTTTACATAGTTTTTGAGCAACTTTGAAACGTAGTAGAAACGAAATGTTGTGGAAAAACTATTTACGCCGACCTTGTTTATCTTTGATGTGAGATTAATTAACAGATAAGATAACGGGGCACCAGAAATAGTTGCGGCTATCAGTGCCAGCTTTGGTTTGTCAGATGATATTCTCTAACCAATCGATTGTTTGTGCTTTTGTAATCAAATTGCTTTATGAAAGTCTTGTTGACATGTAATTATTAATCATTATTTGTTAAGTTTAGTGCAGGATGTTCGGAACGAGCTAATGAAATATGCCGCCGTGTAATCCGAGGGTAATCTATGCGAGCTCAAATTTGTAAAGCCTCATAGCCGGGAAACAAACACGGCATTGTCGGACGCGTGAATCGTGCGTGTGATCCCGCCGTGTTTGCTGGGCCGGCCATCGAACCCACACCGCAGCCTTTATATCCATTCAAATAAGCACTAATTATATTTAATGCGTTTTACCTGTAATTAGGAGGTGTTAGAAAATGTGAAACAGTGTTTAACGGTTTCGAAACAGTTTTGGGGATTGTTTACACGCTTTCGTATACGATTAGACTGCTTTATGAGGTGCTTTTACCAGCGACCGGCAGCAGCCGCGCCCACGCTACCTCGCGAATACAAACACGATACCCAATCTAATGATTATTGTAAACATTACTCAGTATTTTATCCACTTTCGTGCCGTACACTGTTGCCTGCACATTAGCAGTTGACTTGTAATATTAATCACTATTATTAGGACGGACTGCGTTCTGTTCACGTTTGGGTAACTTCACGAATATAAACAAGCGTGGAAGTTTTAAAAATGGAACACAATAAAGTTGATCGAGTCTAAACATATTAACAGGCTGTAAAACACACTTTCGTCAATTTATCGGCAATAACGATAAAAACAAAGCGCGGACACGTGGAGGTGTGATCTCATACCTACTGGGACCTACTACATTGTGGATTCGCGGACACTTAGCGAGCAGTTAATACTCCCTTCGGCAGGAAGATGGGCGAGGAAAGTGGTAGGTAGCTGATCGTAAATAAAGGCGTGACTCAGGCGGCCGGTGGCGTTGCAACGAGCTATTTTCGACATGCAAATGAGAAAGTGCATCGACAGAGGAACCCTATAGGATGGGTTTAGCCATCCAATCTAGACAGATAGGGGCTAATTATAACGCAAAATAAAAAAATAAAAGAAATGGGCGACTTAACACGGTGTGAATAAAATAGGTATGTAATTCCTTTGCACTCCAGGCTCCAGGTGGCGAGTGTCATTGCACTGTCGTGTTCAGATGTTTGTGTATTAATATTTAATATTATTAATGCACGTAGGTACCTAATATGCATTCAAATACTACGAGCCAAGGTGCGTATCTAGAATGCATAGTATTTTGTCTTATATATCAAAATGTACATTGAATTATTTATTTAATATTATTTAGTAACTTAATACACATACACCAAATTTAAACTAACTTATAAGCAAATTGTAACTATAAAATAAAGACGATTCAAACGAAGAAAGGTTATTAGAATTTTTCTAATTTTATGAATTAGACAAATCCTGATTTATCAAAATCTACTTGTTTATATTTTTCTTCGAGTAAGTGGTCTGCTCGGTTGTTGTATGATATGATATACGAATATCATGTGTATGTAGATCTACGTTATAGCAATTAGGATAGATGAATATACATATATTGTTGTGTGAAATTACTTTAACGCAATTTTTTTTTGGTATTGGTACTTAAAAACTTAACAGTATTCTTTAAATTTTATGAATGGACTTATGTCAACATGTATCGTAGACTGTATGTACGTACGGTTGCGCAATATAATCTATAGGTATTGAATAGTTGTAGTGTACATAATAACAATCCTAAGTATTGCTTGGTACCAACATACATATAACGGTCTCAGACGGCAGTCTATACTTAGATAACATCATGCATCGAACTGCAGCCGGGTGTAACCACAGAACACGGTTCATATCTGGTAAACGGACACTTATCGCCTCAAAACAAATCCCAAACGCGTTATCTCAAATACCTGCATACGTAAATACATCGAGTTTGAATCAATATTAGATAGGTTACCTACCGCTGAGTACGGCTCGGGCGCCAGGCGGCAGACGTTGTCACGCCACTACACACTCACTCCACACAATATTTACTTCACCGTCGTCTTAAACAACACCTAATTGAATCCATGTTATCATTTAAAATATCGATCAGTCACACGCGGTGCGAAGGGTCTCAGGCGACGCCGTATATTTTTACATTCAACGTCGAGATATTTTCGATAGCAGTCCGGTTTTTACTTAACACACACGAGTTCACAACGTTACTTGGTCGTTTTGCAGTTGAAGCCGGTATATGAACTTATTGTCACTGATCAGCTGAGCGTATGTTTGAAACAATATCGGGTTTACGTAAATTGAACGCGGAACAAATATGTATTAACGCCACGGCGCGCGGAGCGGGACTGATGAGTGAATGAACGGCGTTCGCTTCGCTTGTCTCGAGCGGGTGGTGCGCGCGCGGGGAAGGACCGAAGGACAACCGGCATCGAGTCGTACCGCTAGATGGCGCCGCGAGGCTTTTTCAAGCGCTTTTTCTTTCTACAAAAATAATTACATTGGTGAGGACAGGGCGGGCTACGCTAAACGTCCGCCCGCCTCCTTATAAATTAGGAAAACGTTTTCAAATTATTTCCCGTCAAACATTTACTCTCCAATTCGTCGTATTCCTTCGATGTCCGGAATCAATTTACGCGAATCCACTTCAGGCATTTTAAATTTTCCCACCTCCTGTTTGCCATTTCCAACGTGACGGAAATTAATGTGTGCACTTGCGTTCTTTAACGTCGTGGAAAAAATTGCTCGGTTTCTGGAACGAAGCATGGAGAGCTATGTAAATGTAAAAATCTATTAAATCACGGATTGGACTTGTAATCGCGAATGGAAATCGATTAAAGTTTGCAGTGGCACTTAGGATGGATTCTATCAGAGGGCCGATCAGTGAGTAGATGAAATCATTCTCGATTCCTCATTCCCTTGGACTCGAATAAAAGAAAATGTTCGGGTGGCTATAGACAAGAACGTGCGTAAAGGGAAATTATTGGAAAGAGATGACTGTGATACTGTCTCTCAAATTACTTCATAAAGAAAACTTAATATCTTTTTTCAAAGATTCTGTGATGCATGGGTACATGAGGTATTATTTTACCACAAGTTGAAATTACTGAAAGAGTAGCGTGATTGGATCGACATTAAATTGACAACATAAAATTATGTTTTATTATTAGGATACAATTAATTATTTATTTATTCCTTACGTCATTCATATAAAATCTCAATGCGTGCCATCCTTATCCTAGATACCCATACTAGACTAATTGAATGAAGTGATGGAATAACGACATTCAGAAATTGAAGTCTTTATCTTGGTACTTAGGTAGGCAAGTTCTTGTAGGGTGTGTATTAAGATTCTGCCTAGTGTTAAACAATACATATTATGTGTCCCCATATATTTTATTAAGTTACTAAATTTACTTAGAAGTAAAAGAATAAATAAAAGATAGTGACTAATCATATTTTTTATTAATTAAATTACGATGGATTAGTAACACAAGCAAGTTTAGTCTATGGCATATGACAGATAGGAGGCGCGACCATAAACAATGGAGTGGGCGCGATAAGGGCAGATAAAGGCTGATTTATAGTGTGGCAAGCGCCTTAAATCAATTATATTGACGTCGATATAGAAATATTGGGACTATGCAGCTTGCTTACAAAAAAACATTGGATCATTTGAAATGAACTGTGTAAACAAGATAGAGATTCAAAATAATATGTGCTCACAAGTTATGTATTCCAGCTTTATCGTGCAGGTAATTTCTGTATGGTTACATATTGCAATATGTAAACATGTGTGCTGTGATTGCTGTTACATTAAAAAAAGCTATAACTTAGCTAGTTATATCTCTATCATTGCCTACCTTGGAATAACTATTTATATTACTATACATTCTAAGACTAGAATTAATAGAACCTTAGTCACTAAAGATAAATACGCATTATAATCGTGAAGTAGCTCGGGTAACAAAGGTTTGTGAGCGCGAAGCTTAATAAAGCGCTTTATGCTGAAATAATAGAAAGCGCAAAAAGTAACGGTTTTTATTTCGGTTATTCTGCTTTTATTTCAGAATAAATGTGAATGAGTTTCGACGGAGTTTCATTATAATGCTAAGCCCCCTGCTTAGTCTAGTTTAAATTTGAGAATTTATTCTAATAAGAAAATTGTAAGGATCGTAGAAGGAGTAGTAGAAGAAGGAGGTGTTAATAATAATACAACCTTGTTTGATAAATTATTATTGGATAAATTACATTTTATTATGCTTTTTCTCCGAATAGGTAGGTAGGCAAGTTAGTTATATCACATTATTTGGAGGAGTAGAACAAGCTTCTGCAGACGGTAAGGTTATTAGAGTACTTATTGACTAAGCTAGTAAATGTCGTAGCTAGGAAACAATAAAGCTATTAAAAGTTCAACAAAACAGTATAAACGTCAATTAAAACAAATTGTTCCGATAACGTGATGACCACCCCGTACGTTGAGCATCAATGAACTCATTATTTGTTATCTGTGGTTCATTTTTATAATAAATCGCAATGTATTTATGGCGGCAATTTATTATTATATCGAATTACCGCGCGAATGGCGATTATACGTTGGCCGATAGATTGTATGTCATGTTTCTAATATAAAATGAACGCGGTTCATGTTGCAAGATTTAAACTAATACATAATCTAACTGCACCAGATAATATTTAGCAAACTCGCTCCGTATTCGAGATAACTTACTTAAATTGTTTCGTTGTTATACATTTATTAAAGTAGTCATTGCACTGCTAAATCTTATCGGAGATCATAAATTGTCTTAGTATTTATACTATATCGACTTCATAAACCAGATTGATTATTGCTTGAAAGTTGAAACATACTTACTTGAACCTATGATTTCCTATTATTCCCAAAAAATTTAATACTAAGTCTTGAGTGAATTCTTATTCTTTAATATTCGTATTCATATCATCATCTATTTATTCGCGAAATGAGGTCCATTTTTGTGTTAAAAGAGAATGTAAACAGACAGCACAACAAAAACTTTGGACGGGAGTACCAGGACATGATAGCTAGCAGTAGGTCGTTGGTTACCGTGGAACACGGCGCACTCGATGCCAAGCAAACGACCATTATGTAGACATACGTGCATGTGGCACGCCGATGCCGCCACACAATGGGAAGGTGGGCGCACTGCACTACACGCCGGCGAAATACGATACACGCTATTTGATTAAAGTGGTTTATAAGAAGTAAGAAGTGAATTTTTGTAATCGCCATAATGGTTCCGGAGAACTAAGTTTAGTGCTTGTACTTCGAAGCCTGCAGTTTGATAAAGCGTGCGAAAAAGTGCTTAGGTAGAAAAATATGGCTACATTTTAATGGTGCAACATTTTTGCGCCAGTTATTGGCAAGTGTTCAAGGCGATATCGAATAGGATCTCTGCTTTACATACATTTGAGGCGAAATATGCACAGCAATCTAGTTATTATTTTATGTGCAGTAAAGACTAAGTGAATTTTGAAGTGTTCCTAATCTGTGTAGCTAGTATTCAAAGCGAGATTATCGCTGAACTATTCATGTGCAAACTATACACATAATCCGGATTAGCGCGCGGACTTCACAGTAAATGCGCTACTTCCGCGATAAGCGACCGTCCGCCGAGCGATACGGTAAATGTTTCGCACTGATTGTACTCCCAGAAATGTGGTAATTTACTATATTGTTCAAAAAATAATAATTTATTTCTACTTAACTTACAAGATAATATTATCAAATTTTCATCGGGTTGGAAGGCCTTTAAGAACACGAGCAGACAAGTAAAGTTGTATGTCGTTAAGCTTTTGTATTGATAGAATAAATTGTCCTTTTATCTAAAGTTAGGTTGAATAATGAAGTTCAACATTGTTATCGTAGGAGTGTCGTGGCAGTCACAATGCGTGCTCACTTCGATATTTACCAGGAGCGCAGGGATTAAGGGAACAGATGTTAAATCCTGGCAGATCGCGCGCTGAGCCAGCTCGTTATTCATGAACAATATGGTTTCAATAAGCCATTAGCCCCGTGTTCCTAACGAGAGTTATTGCAGGCGATGCCGAGCCACCGAACTAGTTAATATGATTTGTAACCATTTTAACAGCAAGCAATTGTAAGGGTTACTTCTATTTTTATTGTAACTCTGTTATTTTAGATCACGTTCTTAATGAGAGCGTAAAATAATTTTCTTAATCTACCTCAGCTACATTAAGCTAAGTGCCTATTTTTGAAACGAACTAAATCAATTTTATGGAATCTCGAAAAACATAATGACTCAATTTACAGACTTTCTTTTTATTCAAAGCTCTCGGAAACGGTTTTGTGCGAAATTGTTATTGTTAGATTAATTGCTACGCTTACAGATATTGGCCAGATCGCACTTAGTCTAAGTTGTGAAATTGAAATTCATGCCCTAAATGTGTACCTAGCAATTAAAGTGAAATCTCTGGAGACTTGGGCTGGACATCTGTCATTGTTAATTGTTATTCTATTGAAATAGATAATGGAGGTAACTGTCCTTTTTATTTCCTATACTTTATACTTATTATTTCATCTAAGCCTTTTACTAACAAAGCATACTAATACAATAGTTTTTAATTCTCTGAAACCAATAAAGGCATTCATCATTCTGCCTAAAACAATACGACATAAAAACATAGTAGCATGCGGGACCACAGACTATAAATTTGGCGGGACAGTTGCGAGTCGCGACAGGAGTTAATCTTTGTACCGTTATTCAAATACGTTCTATTGCTATATTGTTACCTATTGTGAATGGGATTATTTATTTGTGGTTTAGTTTACCGCCCTTCCATTGTTTTAGTACGATAGTGGGACCCGCATATATCGTTGAATTCAGAGTGCACACACACAATATTAGCTTAAATCTTTTAGATGAAATAGGCGATTAAAACAATATTACTTACAGTGAATTATTCACTATTATAAAGCCTCAGTTATCTGCTAATATTCTTAGTCCCAAGCAATTATCGGATCAAATGATAAAATCTGTATTTATCCATTATTCTAGAATTCTCAACGGATGTCTTGTTAATTTTTTTTCGCTCGTTTCTATAGATTTTGGACATTGAATACTAATAATTTTGCACGTTGAATTTGAAAATAGAATTTCCATGTAACGCAATACGATTAGTTATATAAGAACTAAACTATATGTTTACATTCCTTTTTTAAAAACAGTTTATACTAAAATAATAGTGGGTAGTTAATTAATACCTACGTAAGAGTTACGGAATGTGCAATCAAGGTGAATATGAAGGACCTTCTAATAGTAAATACATTGGATCATTTTGCA